GTAACAAAACAGATCACTCAGGCTCTAGAAAAATTCAAAACAGAAATAATTTCCCAGATAACCATAGAGATAGTGAGCAAAATGGAAGTTGTGATTCAAGACTCTAGAGCAGAAACTGACAAAAAGATAGATGAGCTCAGGACCATGATAGAAGCCATGAAAGCCCAGCATAAAAAAGTAATAGAAAAAATAAACACCCAGCATAGGAAACAAATGGAATCCATAAAACAGATTCAAACAGATATCCAGGAGATTAAACACTCCATTGAAAGTGAACGCAACAGAATAAAAGAATGTAAAGATAGACTGTCAGATATAGAAGATAAGATTGCAGTCAGTGACTGTGAAAAGAGAGATCCCTTAAAAACAGTAGGGAATCATGAGAAATCGATCCAACAACTCCTAGATGATGCAAAGAAGAATAACATAAGACTGATAGGAATCCATGAAGTAGCAGGAGAAAATACAAATGACTTTAAAAAGCTGTTCACAGAATTAATGACAGAAAACTTCCCAGAGGGGAAGAATTTGACATTCAGATTAGTGAGGCATATAGGACCCCAACTAGTCAGAATCAAAAAAAAAATCTACACCTAGACATATAATAATCAAGATCCCAGAAACCCAACAGAAGAACAAAATACTACAAGCAGTAAGAGAAAAGAAACAAATCACATGCAAAGGAAAGCCCATCAGAATCACAGCAGACTTTTCAGCACAAACCCTTAGGGCAAGGAGAGCCTGGAGTGAGATATTTCAAGTACTAAAGGAGAAAAACCTCCAACCTAGACTGATGTATCCTGCAAAACTCTCTTTCAAAATGGATGGGGAAATAAGACACTTCCACAACAAAGAACACCTGAGAAACTACTTGAATACCAAACCAGCACTACAAGCAATTCTAAACAAGATCCTAGAAAAAGACAATGAAAGTAACAACACCACGAGGCCCAAAAGAGCAAATCAAATAGGCAAGGCAAGGAACGAAAAGAAGGTGAAAAAATAAAAAGAGTCAACAAAAGGCCAATAACATGTCAATAATAAGTCATTACATATCAGTTATAACTATCAATGTCAATGGCCTCAACTCACCAATCAAGAGAAATAGACTGGCAAAATGGAATAAGAAGCAAAATTCAACAATGTGTTGTATACAAGAAACACACCTAGTGCAAAAAGAAGCCCATAGACTGAAAATGAAAGGATGGAGAAACAATTCTCCATGTGACAGGAGCCCAGAAAAAAGCAGGGGTAGCAATCTTATTTGCAAACAAAGCAAATTTCAAACCAAAACTGATTCTAGTATTATTGATGTAGGTCGGTACTGTATCATACCTCTGTGAATGTAAAATATCTTGTACCTGCTTTATGATATGTAGTAGTGACTGTGCTTTATCAGACTATTTTTAATGATATTACTCTATAATATTCTCTTTCCAGATGATGATTAAGATGCTAAAAAAAAAAAAAAATGGTGCCAGGTACCACAACAGCAACAGAACTTTG